TTGTCCAGTAAGAATCCAGTTTCCACCAGTTTGACCATATAAGGGATTTTTAGCAGAATGAAATACCATAGTTCATGGTAACTTAAGTAGGTGAAAGTTCAAAGCTAACAGTATGTGAACACACACACACATAATACAATATACAGTATATATATTCCTGGAGCATCTCGGCAGCACACCATGGGTTAAGATCTGCCCCTCTTAACCCACAGGACACGTGATAAATTTAGGCTCCTCCGAGCCCTACTTATTCTTTTTTTCTGTCCTCGCCATGGGACCATGATCTCCTGCTGGAGTATGTTTTTTTTTCCCCTCTGGGAAGCCCTTACCTGCCGTTTTTCGCTGCTTTCCGAAAAGGGTCAGTCTCCCCTGTGCCGAGGACCCTGCTCCACGGCTTTAAACAAGCCTGTTCCCAGGGTGAGCATGTTGCTCCAACGTGGCTAAGCCGTGGCAGCCTTTCCTATCCACCCTAGGGCCCAGCGCCCCTCACTCTTCTTTCTCTTATTTTCTTTGAGCTCGTAGGCTGCGGAGGCCCCCGCCCCTGGGAGTTCCCCACTGATGTCGTCATCCCTTCGGTCAGGTGAGTAGGTCCAGCGCTGTCTGTATGCGATCGCGCCTCTCGCACATGCGCACTAGTGTTGTCCATTTCCAAAATGGCGCCCATGGCTTCTGAATCGCTCTGCGCATGTGCCAGCGTTTGCTCAGAAGACACGCTGGATCTTCACAGCAGCATTGGCTGTCGCCTCCAACAAAGGCCGCACGAATTTCGGACAAAATCCTGCGGGGCCCAAATGGCGCCCACGGCTTCTGAATCGCTCTGCGCATGTGCCAGCGTTTGCTCAGAAGACACGCTGGATCTTCACAGCAGCATTGGCTGTCGCCTCCAACAAAGGCCGCACGAATTTCGGACAAAATCCTGCGGGGCCTCTGCTCAGTCTGATCTGCTCAGTAAGTTCTTCTTGTTTTATGTCTTTTATTGGGGTTTATTCTACTGCATTTTATGTACCGTTCCTTAGCCCATACTATTTTCCCTACTTATTCAATAGGGATGGCTGAAAAGGCTGCCACAAGACATCCTTCCCCTCCTCATAGGTAAGGGTATGGTAAGTGTGAGCCTTTTAAAGAGACGAAGTGTTGGGCTGTTTTGTCAGCCCTCCTCACGAAGAGCATCAGAGACATTCCTCAAGATTGCCCTCGTCACCCAGATGTTACAAATCCAGAGGCAGAAGTGGATCAAGGCGGGAGCATAGGGAGTCGGTTTCTCACCACTCACACCACCGCCATTATCCTGCACACAAGGCCTGCTGGGTATGCAGCAATCAGGCACTCCCAGACAAGTTGGTCTGCCAATCCTGCCTTACCAATCCCACCAGGGACGCACCTACCCCGCCAGCCACTCCAATGTCACTCCTCATGCAGTCATTCAAAGACTGTCACCGAGAGGGTGGCCAGTTTAAAAAGCTGGATGGGCCATCCACATCCCAGCGACCTACTGAGCCCACAGAGGCCGACACGAGCTCAGAAATGTCAGACGCAGAGGAACCTCCCTGCCCTTCCGGCTTTGATTTCAGCCTGGTGGAACCGTTCATTGCGGCAGTTAAGGAGGCAATTGACTGAGAGGACCCGGTTGTGGAGCCAGCGAAGGTTAGATGCTACTTTCCTCATTTAAAGAAATCCATGGCCGCCTTTCCCTACATGGATGAGAGAAAGGAACTTATGGAGGAATGGAAACGGGCTGAGAAGGCTCCAAATGTTAATAATCGCATGGCGAAGTTATATCCTCTCATGGAAGATGAAGCACCCAAGCTTAACTCTCCTCCACTGGTGGATGCAACGGTGATGCGCCTAGCCAGACACATTACATTGCCCATGGAGGGTGCAGTTTCTTTTAAAGAACCATTTGATCGCAAAGCGGATCTGGATATGAAAAAAGCATATCTGACTTCAGGAGCCATTTCCACGTGGACCGGCAATATTTAGCAGGCGCTCAATTCCGTTGTACCCGGGAGAGCATCATTCTCGCTCTACAGGAAATTCGACTCGCGGGCGACTTGACATCATCCGACGTACTGCCAGATCGATGCTTGCTACAATTACCGCCCTTACAGCACTCTGGCTGAGGCGTCAAAGACCAGCTGGTGTCGCATTCCATTTGATGGTTCAAGTCTCTTCAGCCCAAAGCTCGATGCAGCAATATCCAAGGTGACTGGGGGTAAATCTGGCCTCCTTCCACAGGATAGAAGTAAGAAACGTCCACGGTTCAACCCCAATAGAAGGCCTTTCAAGGAGCCAGGGATGCTCGATCATACTGACCAGGTAGAGAGGCTGGAGAAGCACTCAATCTTCCCTCCTCCGAGTTTCCAAGGCCGCTACGCCATCCAGGTCTCAGCCGCCCAAAAAATACTTTTGATGCTCAACGGCTCTCTACAGGTCCCGTGGGAGCACGTCTTCAGTCTTTCATCCCAGCATGGCAAGACATTGTCCAGGATCCATGGGTGTTGTCAACTGTGTTCCGGGGTCACAGATGGTCTTTCAAAAGGAGACCACCAGCATACATATTGGTGCAACACAACCGTTTTGTCTGGCGGATAATCTCTTCGTCATCCCCTGGGATGCAAAAAGGGTTGCGCTGCCTCGGTGCGCACTATAGCAGCGTGGTTGGTGAAAATCATCAGAAAAGCATACTCCAATTGGGGTCTTCATTCACCTGAGGAGATAAGGGCGCATTCCACGAGTGGCATGGCAGCTTCCTGGGCAGCCTACGCAAAAGTTTCCGCTGAGACGATCTGCAGAGCAGCTTCCAGGTCCTCCAGGAATTCGTTCATCAACCATTATAGAGTGGACCCAGCACTCCTTACCACTGTGAATTTTGGGAGGAGCATTCTTGCCTCTGGCTTTTCAAGTTGCTAAATACATTTTTTTTCTGGCATTACCCTCCCTGTGTGATCACTAATTCCCATGGGGTGCTGCCGAGATGCTCCAGGAAAACGGAAAATTGTATACTTGCCTTCAGTAATTTTCCTTTCCTGGTGCATCGAAGGCAGCCCACCAGGATTTTGCCCTCCCTGCCATGACTCGGATTATGATGAGAATGAGTAGGGCTTGCAGCGCTTCTCCCTTCCCTTCTCGGTTTAACTCACGTGATTTGGAGAGGCCGCTGGTGAGGCTGTTGATGCTGGAAATAATGGGTCTCCACGGGGGTGTAGTTTCGTTTTTATGTATTTTGGGTAAATGGTAAAAGAAGGGTGTATTTGGCTGTGTGGCCTCCTTCCTCGATGTATGCAGCCAAATACACCCTTCTTTTACTTCAACATATCTCCAATTTAACCCCTCAAGTGTAGCGCTGTATCCTGGCATGCTGTCTTTTTAACTTTCTAAATTTATCACGTGTCCTGTGGGTTAAAAGGGGCGGATCCTAACCCATGGTGTGCTGCCTTCGATGCACCAGGAAAGGAAAATTACGGAAGGTAAGTATACATTTTTCCGTTATATATATTTTTTTTTCCATGCATTTAATATCCATATAAAATTACTACTAAGTTACTTGTAAATCAATAACCACTACTAAAAAATACTATTTGTATCACAGAGCAGAAAGATGTTACCTGTATTCTCTTTTTTAAATTCCAGCATTATGCGGGGGATATATTCATGCAAAGAAGGGGACAATACTTTCTCCGGGTTTTCCTGATTTTTACCCCAACTCTTTGAATTGTACTTGGACAATAGAAGTATCTCATGGAAAAGGTATCCAAATCTATGTTTACTATGTGTTTTAAAGGAATCTGCCTTATGCTTCCATTCACAGGGATTTGCTTTAAAGATTTTACATTTTTACAATGGGCAGGGGTGTGTGGAGCAATGTTGAGAGGTGAAAGGGGCAATTAATCTATTTGGAGAGGGATTATCATAGTACATGTAAAGTATTTTCAGTAGCATCGAAAAATTAATTCTATGTATTTTGGTGACTGCAGTGCATTCAAACTGCATATCAATGTAATTGCAAGATTATAAAGAAAAGCAACAATCTTAATACACTTGTATGAAAGGATACAGATGGGTTGGGCTTTACATAGACATTGTAAAATATTTAAAGGCAGACTGAGACCAGTAATATACAATAGTACTTTTGATGAAAGATACAGTTGTACGAATGTAACATTACAGTATGTCTTATACTGAAAACCCCTTTTGTTCACTTTTGAACTCCATAGCAAATACCAATATCTGTCAGATTCAGCTGTCACCATAGATGGAAGTTGTTTGAGCTGCCCTCAGCTGTAAAACATGTGGGGGCATACTGAGTACATATATACTTTATTTAGATACATATTTAAAGTATAAATGCACACTTAAAATACATTAATCACTGTACTATGTGGAATCCTAAACAGTTCTGCTAGTTAAGATTTTCTGGGTGTTGGCTAGGCAAAATATCTATTGCTGTTATCAAACCTAGGACCTTGGATAGACTGCTCTTACTAATAAGATATCCTGCCAATCCCTCTGTATTTATATTCCCATACATTAAGTTCTCTGCAGGGATGAGGAAAGGTCAAGCACATTAACTGCATGCTAGGCACACTCCTTTCCAAACAACAACTTCCTTTAGGACTTCCTCATGTCTTTATATATCAAAGACAAGGATAACAAAGGGGTTTTTGAGGCTACTGCAGGCATGTGCAGGTACCTCTAGGTACCTACATTTTATAGCTGCATCCGTTTTTTTCTAATTTAATAACAGACCTTTAATTTTTCATCTGTAGGTCCCTATTTTTTAGGTAAAGGTTGGATTACATCAAATGTAGTTTTAGTATTATGGCCATGCATCATTTAAGTATGAGGCAACATATAACAGTTACCATTTTGTGAAATATTTTTTAAACAATGGTCCTGTCTAACTGCACACTACTTGCTACTACCTACGTTATTCAGAGCCCCATCTGTTTTTTTTCTTTAGAATAGCAACATTTATTATAAGAGGTGGTTTCTCTGATTTTTGGATTAAGCCCCACCAACTGCCAGTCACCTTTCCAAAGGGTCACTGCCCCTATTGTTCATTGAATCATTTTCATTGGATACTAGGAGGTAGTCAGCCTGGCTCAACCTGCAATCAGGAAAGGCCTCCTAGCAATGTAATCGGGGTGATTTACTAAAAGCAAATAGGCTGTTCACTTTGCAAGGAATTTTCAATCTGCTTAGTGAATGTGGTGACAATTCAGTTTGCAAAGAATACCCAATCGTGTGCAGTGAAACAAAAAAACCTGTATTTTTGCTTGCACATAATTGGATGATGAAAGTCAGCAGAGCTTCATTTCATTCACTAAGCTAAGGGTAAACTTCCTCAGCAAAGTGCAAATTGCTTTGCAAATTCAATAGCCTATTTGACTTTAGTAAGTCAACCTCAATAGGTATAGGAAGGATGCACACAGGAGGCTAACAAAAATAATAGGTGGTATCTTGTGCTGCCTTGTCTTAGGAAAGATTTTTAAATGTTTAGAATAACTGAGAGAATTATTTTTAAGCTTTGCCTTTTGCAAAACTATAGTGTGAAACTAAGCAAAATGTTACTGTGTAGAGCATTGCAAACAGTTTTGTTCTACTGTTCTTTAAATGGCAATGAAAAGAAAATCTTGAACAAACTCAAGTGCACATTTGCTAGACTTTCTACCTATTTTAGATATAATATAGTAGCTCTTGGAGTAATTGCTTGTACGTTAGAAGTGCTTTCTCTATTTCGTTTTAGGTTGTATTTTACTTGGGTGTCCTTTCCTTTTGTTATCATACTGTATCACTATAACAAGCAATAAAACAATTCAATAACAATAGAAATAAAGTCACCTTTTTACTCTGTCAGCTTTCTTCTGATTTAAAGTTTTGATTTGATTTTACTATTTTTGTAGGTGTACAGCTGGTATTTCACACCTTTCACCTTGAAAGCTCCCATGACTATCTGTTAATAACAGAAGATGGCAGTTTTACTCATCCCGTTGCCAGACTGGCAGGCTCAGTTCTACCACCCACTATAAAAGCTGGACTTTTTGGAAATTTTACAGCTCAACTTAGATTTATATCAGATTTTTCAATCTCGTATGAAGGATTTAACATTACTTTTTCAGGTAAGGAAATTCCTAACAAAAAGAAACATGTGTAAAAGATATGATTTCACTGGATCCCAATACACTTTGACCTGTCATAAATAGAATGTATAAAAGCAAGAATTGTCCTAGAAATGTTTTTATTTATAAATATAACATTTACTTTTAAAACATTATCAATTTCTTCCTTCTTTCTACTGTGGATTGCTCAAGAAATGTTATTGAATGGATACCCTTTAGTGGTTTATAGGTCTCCTGAAGTCCCTTAATTTTATTTTTGTTACTAAAATTGTACATATTACAAGACCCTGTCCAAACCCACTGACACTTTGATGTATGGAGAACCTTGCACCCCTCTGACACACAGTTCACAATGTATTATCCTGTCCCTAAAACCCACACTGGAATTGACTACTTCTTCTAGAACACAATGGCACTGCGGAACACTAAGTTCTCATAGATAGATTCTATCACCTCGTTGGTCCATGCCCCTATCACCTTGGGCTTACAGTTCTTCTCTCGGCTCCCTAAACAATGCAATTAAAAATTAAACGAATGACTCTTTGAGGGGACCAAAAATTAAGATGTTACATTACAATAGTCCTGTTCCCTCAATACAGGTTCCTTCTCTCGATCTGGCACCGCATGGGAAGTCCACAAAGTGTTTATTAGGGGCCATTGCATAGTTTTGTCTTCCAAACTCAAGAAAGACTCCCAGAGTGCATGTTCAATACTCACCTTAGATCTTTACACGGCGGAATGCAAGCTGTCTGCGTAACCGTCTTTATCTACAACAAATACAACAGATACACATAGCAGTGGTAAAAAAACAATGTTGCATAATTGCCAGCTGTTTTATAAGAAAGGCAATAAGGCGCACACTCTCTTGGCCCATAAGCTTAAGGCTGATAGAGTGCTGAATACTGTCCACTCTATTAACCACTTGCTGACCGGGGTGTTTACACCCCCTTCCTGACCAGGCCATTTTTCAGTATTCAGTGCTGCGCTACTTTGGCTGACGTTTATTCCGTCATGCAATGCTGTACTGACATTAATTTTATACCATTTTTGGGGGATATATAGAGATTTCTTTTGGTGGTATTTAATCACCACTGGGGTTTTTATTTTTTACTATATAACAAAAAAGTACTGAATATTTTTTGTTTTAAATGGTTTTCCCTTTATTATTTTAGGAAACATTTATTTTTACCCAATTTTTTGCTAAAATATAAAAGTTGGGGTCACGTTGGGTAAATAGACACCAAGCATGTCAAGCCTTAAAATTGCACGCAAAACCGCAAAACGATAGCCAAAATTGGTCAGAGGCGACGCTTTAAAAGATTTTACCGCTCATCAATTTAGTGTTATCAGTGATTGATGGCCCTCAAATTATTGCACTCATTGTGTACATTTTTATTTTTTTACTTTTTTTTTACACTTTATTGTTATCACATAGGGTGCTAAGAAGTACCTTATGTGATAACAAATTACAGTGACAGGTCCCCTTTATGGAGACATCAGGGGTCTCTAAGACCCCTAGGGGGTGATTTACTAACCTAAACACACGCACGCACTAGGTGTGTGTGATTTTTACACAGCAAAACGTATTTATCAACCAAAAAGGCTCTAAAAGCATATTTCCACTAATGCCATATATGGAAAAATCATGAACATGATGCATATATAATGCTGCTTCACAGTTTAGACAAAAATGGTTAGCTCATGCATTTACATTCCTGCATTCATCAACGCAAGCAACACAACATAGAGCTAATTTACACAACATCACCTTGCAAATTCATGCAGGGCTTTGCACAACACACCTGCTGGGTGTGTACACACTACAAAGGTGTTTAGATTCCACCCATGGATCATGCTGGGAGGGAACACACTACAGAGGTGTATACACGTTCGTGGTGTGTTTATAAGGTTAGTAAATCAACCCCCTAATGTCGCCTAGGGACCCCCAGAGAAGCTGATGTAGCACAGATCTGCATCAGCTTCTCTCCGGTTTCTGTACCGGAGAGTGACAGAGGAATGCAGAAGTGATGTAATGTACATCACTTCCTGCATTCAGAGACCGGGTGGAGAGCGGAGTGAGATCGGGGCATGATCTCCCTCCGTTCTCAGTGCACAAACATCACCCGGACTGGATGGACACCCGGGATCGCGGGGACGGTGACGGTGGGGACAATGACGGTGACCAGAGGTAAGGAGGTGGGGGGGCGCACCTTCACTTATATCATACAAGCGATCAGGCGTCTTTACAGACGCTGGACCGCTTGTATGTAAACGGCCATCGCTGGCCATTTAAAATCCTGGTGTGTTCCCGCTCGTGGGCGCCTGGGGGGCACGTTCACAAAGAACGCCTAAAGACGCCCACCCGCATCCAGGAGACTCCCGTTCGGCCGTTTTTCAACGATCGCCGGACGAGAGGTGGTTAAAGATGAAAACAGGTTAGAGCACTTTGACCGCAAAAAGGTGGTATCCATCTTTCATGCTTACTACACTCGTCTTTACAACCACCAGGACCCTGCCTTTTGAATGGATGGCCCATCTCTTCCTCTTGGCATTGAATCTTATCTTTCCAATTGCTCACATCCACGCCTCACTAGGTCTGATCTTGATCTCCTTAACAGCCCCATTACAATTTAGAGATCTCACGGGTAATTAAAAATCTACCTAATGGCAAGACCCCGGGCCTAGATGACCTTCAGTACCTATATAATAAAACCGTTAGGGAAACCCTCACTCCAAATCTCCTAGACTTCTATATTGATTTTCTGTAGGCCTCGCCTATCCCACCTTCCAAGTTGAACTTGCATATTGTAGTCCTCCCTATACCCAACATAGATGACACGGTTTGGCTTATAGTTGATCTTAAAATTTTGTTCCAAAATACTGGCCATCCATTCAGGCAGTATTCTCCCATCCGTAATGCACAACAATCAAGTGGGATTTGTTTCCAGTCATCAAGCTAGAGATAACACCAGATGCACTATTGATTTAATAAATGTGGTGAACTGTAGTGTTAAGGAGGCAATTGCCTTGAGTCTTGGTGCTGAAAAGGTATTTGATTACCTTGGTTGGCCTTTTCTCCTCTCCACCCTAAGACACATGGGTGTTCAGGGTTCTTTCTTGGCCGCACTCTGTAATTTGTACTCTTCACCCTCAGACTCCATTGAATTGCCTCATGCTACCTCTACTCCTTTTCCAATCCACACTGGCACTAGACAAGGCTGCCTCCTCTCCCTCCTCCTTTTTGTTTTCTGTAAAGAACCTTTAGCAGCATGTATTCAGAATTCTCCAGATATCTCTGGTGTGTCCATACGTGACTGTCATTTTAAGCTTTTTCTCTTTGCTGACTATATTCTGCTGATGCTCACAAAACCCCTACTTCCCCTACCTAACTTACACAAAGAGCTATTACTATACTCCTCATTATCAGGATATAAACATAATCCTACCAAATCTGAAGCTATGCCAATCCATGTCCCCATTTACTGCTTTCCACACTGCTATCTTCATTTGAATACAATTGGAAAACTGACACTCAAATATCTGTGTATTTACCTCACCCCTCGAGCTATACCAGGTTAATTACCCTGCATTATTTTAAAAACTCAGAGCATTCCTTCAGAGACGGAAGTTGTACCATCTGTTTTGGACAGGAAGGATTACCTTGATTAAAATATCAATCCTACTAGACATGTGCATTCAAATTCAGATGAACTTGCTGAATCACAAAATCCTGTTGATTCGGCAGTTCGTCCGAATCCGAAAAAGCGAACTGATATATGCCCAAATATATGAAAAACTATATTCAGGTATATATTATTTCCTTTTTTATTGGCACCAGCATCTTACTACGTCCAAGATGGAGGTGCCCATACATGCGCATGAAATCAATCGACACTGGCGTCGGGTGATGTCACGCGCCCTGCCTCCAAAATGGCAGTGCGCATGCGCAGAACGTGTCAGTGACTAATGGCCGCCGTGTTTTTTTTTAAATTGTGTGCTTTTGGATTTGGAGGTTCGTTGTCTCTGAATCCAAAACAGCATAATTATTCATTTTATCAAACAAAATGAATGAAAAGGAATTTCCCTTTTCATTCGTTCCATCTGAAAACAATTTGTATGCTGAGCACGTCTAACTCCTAACTCACTTACTATACCTTTTTGAGACCCTGCCCGTCAAAGTTCCTACGAAAGATCCTAAATCTTTACAGCAATCCTTGCTCAACTTTACCTGGTGTGACTCCAGGCACAGAGTGTCCAGACAAGTCCTAATTTCTTTCAAATCTCAAGAGGGTTTGGGGTTCCTGGATATCCTCAAATATTAACTAGCAGCTAACTTACATATATCTCATGTATCTAATCGGTGGAGCGTCCATCCCCTTAGCTGCTGGTTGGAAACAGAACAGCTCTGGATCTACTTCAATATGCCTTAACTCTCTTATTTGGCAGGCATTGCAATCTTTGAAATCCCTATCTCTTTTAGGTTCCATGAGCCACACCAGAGAGGTTGGATGTAAGCAAAGCGTACATTTCCCTTGACCTTTTGTTCCTTATACTCACCCATTTTACCTACTACTCTTGACCATAACGTTGCTCACCCATGGCTAAATAAGTCTTTATTCCCTTTTATGATATCACCCGGAAAGCCAAGAGAACTCTCCTTCCTTTTCCTGATATCTGTTCTAAATTTAAACTTCCTCCATGTTGCCAGTTTACTTACCTCCAAATTAAACACTTTGCATACACCATTTCCACTCATTTGATCTTCTCCCCCTGATCACTACTGAGAAAATGTGCCTGGATGACCCTACTCATAAATGTTTTATCTTAGCCATCTACAAATCTCTGATGCTCAACGATGTACCTTTCCAGAAACTTAAGTACATTAAAAAGTGGGAGGCTTTCTGGGCTGTGAATTAGACATCGAGAATTGGGGTGAGATATGATCTGATGCAAGCCGATCTTCAATTTGCTCCTTTTATAAGGAAAATCAGTACAAAACTTTATTTCCCTGCACCACACTCCTGATCGTCACTCATTTAACCTAGCAATCCTCTCAGTCTGCTGGTGGTGTAATTGTGCTACTGGCACCCTACACCATATCTAATGGGAATGTTCTCAAGTGCATGATTATAGGAAACAAGTAGTGTCTCTACTCGAACGTCTGTTGGATACACAGATCCAGATAGACCATATCCATTGTTTATTAGGCCTTCCCATTCCACATCAGATTAAACATTCCAGTTAACTTGTTGACCATATTTTGACTGCAGCTAGATGTTTAATCACCTTAAAGTGGAGGGAGACCATGCCATCCTCTAGTCTTGATCTTTACAGATGAATAAATTATGTTAACAACCTGAATACCTCAAGACATGCTTTAGGTCCTTTAGGTCTGGTAGAAATTTTAGGGGGGACCCTAACGCCAAAAACCCTTCCAGACAATGAGTGGGATCCCCCATAAAATTCCTAGCAGTTATTTAGTATTTACTTAAAGTCCCCTAATATTACAAGATGTTTTCAGATGTGCAGTATCTTGTCATGTATTAATTACTTTCTATATACAAACAAAATTGTAAAACATCTGCAGGATTATTTACAAAAAGGGGAAGAGTTTGGAGAAAGCAGGAGAAGTGAACAATCTAAGGCCAACATAGCTGAACTGGAAAGTGAGCTGAATTGGAGTATTTTTCCAAATCAGCTATTTTGGCCTAGATTGTTCACTTCTTCAACCTTCTCCATACCCTTCACCCTTTAGTGAATAACCCTGTTAGTGTAAAATGTGCACAATGTTATCATTAAACCTTTCCTGACCGATGACGGAATAATTCTGTCAAAATTTCTCCAATGGTTAAAGACCGGTGATGGAATATTTCCATCATGTGTGAAAGTGAGCCCTGGTCTGTGGTGAGACCAGTGCTCATGGGGTTTATGCTCTTGCTGGGTCCCTCTGTGTATGAGGCAGACACTCAATAGCAAATCAGGGGGTTCCAGCACTGTCTTCATGAGGATAGCCAATCACAGTGCTGTTACAGCCACTAATCTGGCTTGCAGCTCATCACACTGTGTTGTTGAGCTAAGCAAGTCAGATCAGCATGCTACAAAGAGAATACCGTGTCTCCTAAGAATACTTAATATACAAGCCCCTATGAAAAAAACTAACTATTTATTGGCCCCCAAGTTGTTGTTTTTTTAGTTTTAAACAGTTTTTAAAAGTTTTAAAAAATTTAAAAAAGGAAAATAAATATATGTTTAAAAAGATAAGAAAATACAGTGCTCAGAAGGCTATTTAAAGTTAGGAGACAAGCATGCCACATTCTAAAATTGTTCCACACTAAAATTATATTTCACTCCTATTACTCTCAAAATGAACTGAAATCCCAGATATACCCTATAAATCCGGACAAATAAAATAATTTATTATGAATTAATTTCTGTTAGCTATATTATGTACACATTATTATTGCCAAAACTGTGAAATACATGTTTCTTTTTTTTTGTATTTTTATTTAAAAAATAAGATTTTTTAAAATGCATATGTCACATCAAATTAAAACCTTTTTTGTTCCTTACATTTTTTTAAATATAATCTGTGTAGGGGCAATGAATGGGGAAAATGGAGATTATGGTTAAACAAACACATAGCAAAAATGGCAAATTGCTCCGGTCCCAAGGAACTAAAATAAATTCTGAAGCTGTTTCACTAAGGGGTTAATTAAACAAAACTAACTTTAGATTTATAATTAAAATGTAAATATAAATGATTGAAATACTCCTTTTCCACAAATCCTTAAAGCAAGAAATTATTGAATATGTGTTTAAGTATTTATTTATATTCTTCTCGCTTAAATGTTTATATGAAACATATTTCAGTTTTTGTTTTTAGAAGCCTAAATGTTTATCTTATTCTAATGAAAACCTATTGTGCATAGTTGCATCATCTGTTGTGCATTTAAATCATGTGATTGTTTTGTACAGAATATGACCTGGAGCCTTGTGATGATCCGGGAGTTCCTGCTTTCAGTAGAAGAATTGGATTTCATTTTGGTGTTGGAGACTCTCTAACATTTTCCTGTTTTCCTGGATATCGTTTGGAGGGTGCAAATGAGCTCACCTGCTTAGGAGGTGGCAGAAAAGTGTGGAGTACACCTCTTCCAAGGTGTGTGGGTAGGTGGTCACATGCTTTCATTTCATTCATCAAATATTTAGTGTCAGAGGTTATTTTTGTTTCTGATCATTTTCCTATAAGGATATTTTAGGTTCTTTTTTAGATTTATTAAACGGGTGTTCTAAATTACCTCCTATATGTCTATAACAATTCTCATTTATTTGATATACCTAGTAGTAGTTAGTCAAATTTAACTTTATTTGCTCTGTAATGTTGACAAATTGTTCTGCTCATCCAAGTAGCATCCTCATAATATTTAAGTAGTTTTCTTTCATGAACTAAGGAAACATCTTGGATGAATAGTGAAATATCTCCAACACTGCAGAGCAAGTCCAGTTGAACATGACTAACCACCACTAGGTAATCTCCTCTGTTATAGCCAGCAGCTATCTATATAGATCTATATAGATCTATATATATACTGTATATAATGATATCTGTAAATAACAGTGATTTCAATAAAAAAATAGGGACTTTATCACTGAGCTGCAATCACGTTTCTGATCTTTCCTAATTGAGATGAAGTTTATCTCTCATTTACTTTTGATCTTTAGGAGCATTTCTTTATTTTTTATTCATCAGGGTGCAAGCATACAATAAGGTATCTGGTCTTAAACAATTTTGGTGGCTGACCATAAAGAAGGTATCCAGAGATAATGTCCATTATAATCTCCAAGACTTAATGTGTCAGTAAATAAAAACACACAAAGAGGGTTAAAAAAGTGTAATATGATAAGCATCACAGAAAGGAAACCTGCTACATCAGCACCACAGATAACGTGATCCTGCTTCCCCAGTACCTCTTGTGCATAGCTATTTGTCCTATGCTTTGTGTTTTACATATGTTTAACATACCACAGAAAAAATATGAATTAATAACGTGTTCATGGTCATTTATCCTTTTAAAAAGGCAAGCTACAAAGAAGAGTTATGTGCAGAGATAAGTTTGTTATACAGTTTGTCACACATCCGTAACATAACAGAAGTCAAAGGTGATGTCTCACTAGTAAAGTTCCTAAATTTAGAAGGTATCCAAAGAGCAGTAGATGATTATTGTCCACATATGAATTTTTAAGTGATAAAATAATAATGTGAGTATGTAGGATATCTGGAATAGATGTCATTCTTAAGGGGAAGGTGTTAACATAAGATCAAAAGTATGGAGCAAGTTTCGAAAAACATTATAATATTTTAGTGTATAACCATTTGGACCAGGGCTTTTACCTGATGCTGAAGAGGCAATGGAAGTTTAAATCTCTAAATCAGTGATAGGCAATTAAAGTTTATCCAAGTCTGCAGGATTGTGGAATATGGTTTCTTGGAGAAGTAATGCTTAATAAGATGGGAATTATGTTGTGTATCTTGAGGGAGGTATGTGACTTAACTTTGTATATATTATATGGCAAACTCCTTGCTCTTCATCTTGATCTTGTGATATAAAACATCTGAAATATACACTCACCAGTTGTTTGTGGTCATCTTTTTATGGGCTGACCAAAGATCGCTTAATTACTCCTCTCTTTCCTCCTTGGTTGCCCCAACCAATCCATCCAGGTTGCCGATTAGGAATTTTCCCAAATCGCCTCTATCAGATCCTCTATGATCCTATGTAGCGATATATCCTTTGTGCGGCTTCCTGCTTCCCTCTTATTGAAATTGGTCACCGATAGCTCAGGGAGATAAAAAAGTGCTCTCCATTTATTAGTAAAAAAAGATGTATTGCACTTACAAAATCAATAAAAACTTGCCACTTAATAAAACTCAGCTGAAACATGATGCTCTGCAAGTTGTGATGTCCGTATGCTCCGCCCACTGACTAGTGTTGTCACTCAGACTTCCTCTTTGGGTACAGCGTACACATACATCACTTCTAGCTGCTCTTTCTTTTATATCCACATGCATGATTGACAATTAAAACCACTTGTTCTCCAATCAACTTTTCCTCCCTATTGGCAATCCATACTACACTTTGTATCATTACAGGGAAGAGGATATAATAATATGGTTACTAACTACTGGATTATCTTACAAACAGGTTTTAACAGGGAAAATAGGAGGGGAAATTAAACAATGCCTGATCTAAATACAAAAAGTAATTTTTATCATTGATTTTCCACTGCATATTACTCATTGCTGAGAAAGCCATTTATTCTCCCATAAACTTTTCATCTCTATTGGCAATGCATACTACACTTTTATCATTACAGGGAAGGGGATAAAAGTATTTAGTCAGCCACCAATTGTGCAAGTTCTCCCACTTAAAAAGATGAGAGAGGCCTGTAATTGGCATCTCCTTTTTGAGAAAGTCTCTACGACGAAACGCATAAAAGGAGTGTGTTGTTTCCCCGCTGACACCCTGGAAAGAGGCTAGCTATAAGTTGCTTATGCTGTTGTACCTTTGGAAGTCTGTAAGTGCTATAATCAGTTATACATAAAGTTCCAAAATCTTTGTTTTTTGTTTTGTTTTTTTGGATGTAAGTAATGACTCTCTATTTATCTTCCCCATTTTTGTTAATAAATTCCATCTCTTTGGGGTCATAACCTTTTCCCACAAATTTAGACCCCACCATTAATTATATCATCTGACCAGCAGTTGAGGGTTGTAACACCAATAGTCTATTTTCTACCGAATGTTATTAGAAATCCAGTGTCTTTTGTTTATACTTCCATTGATGCGTCCGCAAAATAGAAAAAGGAAACCTTCTCTGTAAGTTTCTCTGTCCTCTCCTGCCGTCAGGCTACACTTCCTCTCATCGGCGATAATTAAACAACCTCCAAGGCTGGAGAACACTCCGGAGGGATCAACCAGAAAGCCGAGGGGGAGACCGACCGAAGGAGAGAAGACAGGATTTAAGTGCAGATGTAAAATGTTTTATTTATCAAGTAGTTTAAAAATGATTGCACTTACAGACTTCCAAAGGTACAACAGCATAAGCAACTTATAGCTAGCCTCTTTCCAGGGTGTCAGCGGGGAAATGACACACTCCTTTTACGCGTTTCGTCGTAGAGACTTTCTCAAAAAGGTGACCCTAACCCTAACCCTAACCCTACCCTAACCCTAACCCTAACCCTTTATTTTGGATGTCCTTACAAGGGAGGTTTTTACAGGTGGATGTATAATAGATGTATAATCTTATTCGAACTCTGTCATTCAAAGGAATGATCCAGCAGCAGGGTATCTTGGAGCTTGCATCTTATGGCACCTGCTGTACAGATTTACTTTGATTTAATTACCTGAAGCCTGACTCCAGGCTGCTTTAAATGTGCCCATGCATGTCCTTCCTTATCCCTGCATTGTGTGGGCAATATGTTTGTTTGGTTAGGGAAGAGAAATGAGCACATATAGTTACCTTATTACTTGCTCCAAGTGATAGGCAGACCCTTGCCATCCTCCTAGTACTGTCTAGTCTTGCATTGTATGTGATGATATCAAAAAGCAGCCAGGCACCAAAGTGAAGCAGCTTCAAGGGAATGATTATACAAAAAGGAGGAAGCCTGAGGGACCAAAGAATAAGATATATATGTGTACATAGTCCTTCAATCCCAGCCAACCAAGCATCAAACCATACATTACTGGTGAGGGGGATCCCAATGCATAGGTGAAATTAAAAGCAGCCAGGAATTGGGCTGCAACTGCAAGCACATATTTGCTTTTAATTTACCAAAATAAACATTCTGGAAGTTGATACAAAATATATATTTTAACTGTATATCAACAAAGGTCTTGTAACACTCCCCACTACATCCATATGACCCTGGAGCCTTGTGTAGGGGGTGATTTTTGATCACCAATTCTACTTCCGCTATGAAAAAATGGTGCTGACAGAGTAGCTAGTTGGTTATTAAAAATTCTCGGAAGATGCACTCTGTTAAGAAATATTTGAATAGCTGCAAGTGAGTGGTGAATTGCTTCTGGCTAGACCTGTAGGTTTTTTGTGCATGTTGCCTATCATATTGTTTGTTGTTCTGCCTTTCTAGGTTACACATTTGTTTAGTGCGCTTTGATATTTCTTGTTTGTGTCTCCTATTTTTATAGGCACTTATTTTGATTAACAAACCTCTACTATATGCTTTATGAGCATTCCATATCAGAACTTCATCTTTTACAGAGTTAAAATTCATTTGAAATAGAGAGTTCAGATCTAATCAGTTCCCTGTAATTCGAGGGGAGCGGAGTTCAGGCACCAAATGGTAGAATTCTGATGATGTGGATTTGTAAAGATATTAATAGTGACAAGTGTGTGATTAGACCAAATAACTGGGCCAATGACAGATTTAAATATTACTTGCAGCATAGTTTTATCCACATGGAGCAAATCCAGTACGGAATATGTTTTTTTGTGTGTGCCTTGGATGCACCTCCATGCATCATGTAAATCTTATTCTGAGTCTATAATTTTATTGTAGTTCCCACAGAGAATAAAATGCCCCTTCCGAATTTGTTCAATTGTGAGCTTTTAACTGCTTTATATACAATGGCCAGACGGGAGCTTCTTGAAAGTGGGTGGGTGTTTTAAAACGTCCTTGTACCTGTGCCTGCTCATGGGCGCCACCTCATACGCACACAAGAGGAAAACTGTCACTATTTGAAACAGCTGGTGATGGCGGTTTACATACAAGAGGTCCAGCAGCTATAGAACTCCCCGATTGCTTGTATGTGGTGCCAATCAGTGCGCCCCCTTCAGCGCTGCTGCCGACCCAGAGCTCCGCTGTGCCTGGTGCAAGCCCAGAACCAGCATGGCGGCTCTCTGCCTAGAAATCAGAGGAAGAGCAGTGGGAGATCAGTACACGATCTCCCTCTGATTTCCTCCCCGGGCTCTGAATGCAGGAGTGATGTATAGTACATCACTTCTACATTCAGCTGTCATTTCAGGTTACAGAAGTCTTAGAGACCCCTGATGCATCCACAAAGAGGACCTGTCACTGTAAATTGGATATCACATATTGGGCTTCTTATCCCCCTATGTGACAGCAATAAAGTTAAGTGAAAACATTTAAA